CTATTTTGTTTTGTTTTTACCATTCATTTGTAAAATTCTGTTGGTTTCACAGTCTTTCTAGCTATTGCTCTTTCCTCTTCTCCCTTCACAAACAACCGTTTTAAAAGAGATTTTTTTATTATTCCCTCTACAGTCTTACCTCCTATTCTCTACTGTATTTACTTCTAACATGCTTTGCTTTATGCATACTTACTCTCTACTGTACTTACTGTGTGCTTTTATTCCCCCACCTTTAGGCACATGATGTGTGCCTAAGCCAAGCAGTCAATACTTGACTATTATCTTTGTCAGAATGATAATAGATGACGAATAGAAATATGTACTATTGGACCAACAATGTTCTAAACATGTTCTGCATGTTACCTCACTTCATCCTTAAACTAACCTTGTAGATAACAGTCCTAATGTAGATGGAGAAAACTGTTATCTGGAGATATCAGAAAACTTGCTTCAGATGAAACAGCTACAGAGCCAGGTGTGGCGCTCATGACTTTAGTCCCAGCACTCTGAAGGCTGCGGCAGAAGGATCTCTGTGAGTTTGAGGCCAGACTGGTCTACAAAGTGAGTCCAGAACAATGAAGGCTACACAGAGAAACCCTGTCTCGAAAAAAACAAACAAAACAAAACAAAAAATCAGCTACAAAAAGAAGCTAGATTTAGAAGTTAGATTTGAATCGGTCTACTGTGATTTCAATTGATAATTTACTACACTTGTTCTTTTAACCTTAATTGACACAATTGCCTGCATTTGTCTTGTACATTGTGATATTTAAAATAAGCATATTTTATAATTGCTGCCTTGAATCAATTAACACATTGATTTTCTTGTGTACTTTTTGTGAAATCAAACTTAAAATGTATTATCATTGACACTTTTAAGAACACAATACATATTAACTGTAATCAGCATGATGTATAACAGAATCTCTGACTCATTCCTCTAACTTAAGTTTTGTAACCTTTGACAAACATTACTCATTTCTTGAGCTTTAGTACCGAGCAACCACCATCCTCCTCCTCTGAGTGGATTTTTTTCCTGTCATACATATTAATGGATCATATGGTACCTGCCCTTTTCTGCCTGGCTGGCTTCCTTAAAGATGTTCTGGAGTTTCATCTGTGTTGTAGAAATGCTTGCAGGACTGCATTTTTATATATATCCCAAAGAGTGTCCACATATATATGTAATATCATGTATTTTCTTTATTTGTTTACTCACTGATGGACACTTAGTGTCCATCACACATTCCATTTCTTGGCTACTGTAGATAAAGCTACTGTGAACCCAGGAGCACAGAGTTTTCATCAATATATGAACTTCATTCTTTTTGAATATACCCTTATATTCAATGTCTACATACATTAGTTTTTGGTTCTGAGGTTCCTTCATACTGTTTATAATGGCTAGGAACATTTACACCCCAGTGACAGGAAACAAGCAGCTCCTCTCTTCCACATGCCAATGCCCTTCAGCACTTGCTTTGGCAATAACTGTTCTACATGGGGAGGATGACCTCTTATTGAAGTTTTGACTTACATCACAGTAGTAATTAAAGATATCGAGCATTTTCTGTATACCCATTAGCCATTTCCACATTTTCTCTTTATAAGTCTATGTTCTCTTAACTTGTCTGTTTTAAATTTGGCTAATTGATTTCTTCTTTTTGAGTTGTTTAGGCTCCTTAATATTTTGCATATTAGTCATTTATTATTATTAGCCTTTTCACTTATTACTTTTTATTATTGCTATTATCTTTTATGTAACATTAGCCTATTCTACGAGCTTTTCCTGTTTTGATTGTCTTTTGCCACATGGTTTTTAGTTTTTTATCATGCTTCTTTTTTTCTTTTTTTTTTTTTTTGTTGTCTGTGATTTTTAACTTTTCTCTAAAAATCAAATACTGCTCAGACCAATGTCATAGACATTCCTCCCCCCCTTAGGTTTTACTCTAAGACTTTTGCAGTTCCAGATCCTGCATTTAAGTCTTTTTGTGTTGCTTTGTCTATGTAGTTTAAGGAAAGGGTCTAATTTTATTCCTTTGAGTATTCAGGTGTCACAACACCATTTATTGAAGGAACTGCCGTTTCCTTCACGAGTTCGTGATGTCTTTGTCAAAGATTTATTATCTTTGCTTGGGATTGCCTTAGTGATTCAGGGTATATTACTTTCTAAATGGACAATTACTTCTTTTCATTTAATTGGATCTTCAGAAGGTTTGACAGCACTGATCAATCCCTCCTTTCAGGTACATTTTATTCCTTGCTTTGTAGTACTTTTGTTCTATGTGTTTTTCCTTTTCCTCATCATCTACCCCTCCTCCCCCTGCCTTCCACACTCTGTATCCATATTTAGTGCTCATTCCCTTCTCCTCTGTGTGAGTCTCATCCCCACAATATTCTTTACAGTTTCTGGCTTTCCATACAAGCTGCAGACTGAGGCTCTCAGGTTTGTGTTTGCAGCCTAACCTTTTCCTCCAAGCTCCACTTCATAAATAGTTCTCTCATTTTAACTGTAACCATGATTGTTCTATTGTTCTATGAACTCCACCTGACTCCTGCCAAGGCTTCTCTATTAGACCATTAACATTAAAAAAAAATTTGTGTGTGTGTGTGTTGAGACAGGGTTTTTCTGTGTAGCCCTAGCTCTTCTGGAATTCTCCCTATAGACCAGGATGGCCTTGAACCCAGAGATCTCTTTTTCTGTCTCCTGAGTGCTGGGATTAAAGCCATGCACCACCATTGCCCAGCAGAGCATCAGCTTCTAATTGCTCAGCTCATGATCAAGTTCTCTACTGAAACGTCCCTCACCTAGTTTCCTTCATCTCTGGTACAATCACTCATCTACTCCAACCTCTTAGCACTGACTCTCCTGTAGCCACTTTGTCCCTGATCTCCACACAATCTCACCTTCTTTACCTCAGTCACCACTGAGTTGCCTGAGCAGAGAAAATGGCTATCCTATCCAAAGACTTTCCCTTCTAAAGAAAGAAACCAATCTCTTGATTAGACATCACACAGGCCCCACATATCTGACACATTTTTCCCACTTCTCCCTTGTTTATCCACCCCCATCCACCCTGGCCATATTATTAGCACAGAGGAACATTTCCCAGTTTCAGAAACAGGCCACTGCCTTTCATTTCTTTGTCCCCGTTGCTACCCTAGATCTTCATAAAGGATGCTTCTTCCTCGTAATTCAGCTTGTCAATCACATTACATCCACAGTAGAGAATGCCCTGAAACTTTCAAATTTAGATGTGAATTCCTCCCTGCTCAGTTTTACTCCAACCATATCTCCCCACTGGATTTCTTTCCTTCAAATATTTACTTACTTCATAATTTACCTGGGTGCTTAGTATTTGTTTTCTCCCCAGCAGTATACGCTCTCTGAGGACAGGAAAAGACTTTGCCCTGTTTTATTCATTATGTCCCCAGTACTCAGAGCAATTTGTGATACATGCTATTCACTCCTTCTAACTGTCACCAAGTACAGTGCAGCAAGCAACACAACTTGTATATAATAACATAAAATGTGGTACGCTAGGGAAGTTAAGAGCAAGTGACTCATGCTTGACTTTATAGAGCATGAGAGGGTGGGTTCAGAAGTCTAGGTCTTATTGATTTTAGCTGCTGTTTAACTACATGCAATTGAATCATACATAGAGAGCATCTCCCACTGGTTTCCATAGTGACACAAACATCTGTGGCATTGGAGATGGCACCTGTCTCTTGACTGTTCTGAGAACTACGTTTTAAAGTTGTATGTCACCTCAGTTTTTTGGTTGCATATAGAAGGATAAGAAGTTATGCTATATAAGATTTTCTCCCTCAGAAAAGCTTAAGCAAGCTACCAAACCTGAATTCCTGCCAACTCCGTTGCTTACCTCTAACAGGCTAATTAATATAAATGCATGATGTGCTGGTCTTATTTGTGGAGAAAGGAGGTTCACAGTGTTTACAACATTCAACCATGCCAAAATTCCTACTTATCTATTTAAATCTCTGTTTTATTGTTACATTAAAAAGATCTTCAAAACCACTTTCAATAGATGCTTACTTTTTAAAGCTGCTTTTTACCTTAGGAGATGAAATATTTGTGATTTATCATTCTATGGTAAGGACAAGATGCTGAAGAAGAAATGTGGGAGGGAAACAATACTGATGTAGACAAACTAGAGTCCCTGCAAAGGATGTCATGAGAGTCAGAGTTTTGAATCATCCCTGAAGCTCAGTGTCTTCTTACTCTGAGGTTAGAAAAATCGTCACGGGAGCCTGGCAGCTCATGAGTCTGGCTCTCCCAGCGGCTGGCGTCCAGATCTAATCCGCCCACGTTCTGCCTGCAGTCATTGCCATTTGGTGGCAGTTGTCTCCTTAGGCGAAATGGAAAGAGGAATGATTGTGGTCCCGACATTGGCTGAGACATCTAGGAACCCAGTGGTGCTTTTAGGCTCTTCCCGTTAGGTTATTTCCAGGGAAACTGGGCAGAAAATTCCAAGACTGCAGTGCTCACACACTGTCATTGCATCCTACGAGACTGTCCCTTGCCTAAGCCTCACCCTCTCTGCTGAAGAGGGGCGCAACTGTTACCTCACCCTGCTGTGAGTATGTGCCTGGCCTCAGTAAGCCCACTGCACTGGCACCACACCCAGGGGTCTATGTTCTTGTGATTGATTAACACATTGAACAGAAAGGTGTGAAATACTCAAATAAATATGTTTTTCTGGTGCCACAGATTGCCTGTGTATTTCAGACTCCCTCAACAGCTCATTCTAATGTTGTCACTAATTGTTCCTGCTTCGCCAAGCATTTACTGACAGAAGTGGTCTCAGCACATTTAGAAAAGAAATCAAATCTGCATTAAGGAGTCAATATCATTGTATTTCTGGCTCCATGCATGGCAGATCCACTATAGAGCTATATTTGATGTGTTTCTAATTAAAAAAGAGGAAATGTCCAAAGCTTTCTCAATGTTGTTTCGTCTCTCCTTTCTGTTTGCACAGCTCACCATGTTAGAACGGGGACTTGCGAGGTGGTGGCGCTGCACAGGTGCTGTAATAAGAACAAGATAGAAGAACGCTCCCAAACGGTCAAGTGCTCCTGCTTCCCCGGGCAGGTGGCCGGCACCACGCGCGCTGCTCCGTCTTGTGTGGATGGTGCGACTTCTTCCCTTGCTCCTCGGAATTGCTTAGTTGGAATTGGAACCCCACTATAGTGCTGTCTGAAGGGGTCACTCCAAGGGAACCAAAGGAAGCTATTTGGGGGCTTTTTTTGTGACATGAGTACCTCTAGCTAGAGTTAATCGTATCTCACATAGTTCTGATATAAAAAGCATTATAACGAGGTGCCAGTCAGTCAATGTGCTCCTGGTATTGTTGCCATGAAATATAGACTTACTGGTAGGTAGTAGATACATAAATTTCCTGGGAAATGCAAGATGGCTATAGATGGTTAAGTGATGTATGCTAAGATTATGAGAAGAAAGTCAACACCATGTACATGAAGATAAGACTCACATAAAATGATTTCAATGGAGATGGATATAAATATTCATTTCTTTGTCCATATTATTATAGTACATTAGAAATCTTTGTATGAGGCTAGCAATTGTTGCATAAGAAACAGTAAATTTGTTACATGACCTGTTCCTTGTGAAGAAATTACTGTTTACAATAAAAGAGAAAAATATATTAAGTCTACTAACACTCCTGATTTTCAGCTTTTCATAGGGAGCATTTTATTGACTTTAAAATAGTGATTCATATGGGTATGGGTATATTTTATTATGTATCTATATAAATCAATGTAGGGTTTTCCATATATTAGTCTAATGAAGTTGGTGCTTTCACTTACAGCATCCTTCAACATTGTGAGTATAGTTATCACCTCCTGTTGAGCAGTTAGACACATTAATATTAGTTAGTTCTTATTTTGGTGGAGTAGCCTGGTGTAGTGGCCCACACCTTTAATCCAACACTCAGGAGGCAGAGGCAGGCAGATGGATTTCCGTAAGTTTGAGGCCAACCTGGTCTACAAAGAATTCCAGGATGGATGGGGCTATACAGACACCCTGTCTGGAAACACACACACACACACACACACACACACACACACACATGAAAAGTTCTTGAAAATACAAAAAATACAAAGTATAATGGTTAAATGAGTCAGTTTTGTTCCTTGAGTCCCAGACAGAAACACTGAGCTAATTTTTCTCTCTCCTTGTAGCATCCATAGTGGAACAAAAATGGTGGTGCCACATGCAGCCATGTCTGGAGGGAGAGGAGTGTAAAGTCCTTCCAGATCGGAAAGGATGGAGCTGTTCATCTGGAAATAAAGTGAAAACAACGAGGGTAAGTGAACGGCCAGCGTGGGATGGAACAGGCCTCTGCATTAGTGGAGAACAGGACATGCACTGTGCTACTTTCAATGGAGTTCGCAGAATAAGAGAGTATAGTTTTATATAATGTGAATTTCTCATTAATTCATTTATTCATAGCACATTTTTTTTAATTTCATAATATCATTTCCTGCCAATACCATCCACCTCCATGTTTTCTGATTGATGAATCCTGCTTCTTCACAAGATACTGCAGGTAGCATGAATATCTCTACCGCAAGTGCCCCAGGACACATTTTAACTGGCAGGCAACTTGCTGCCATCCCTGTTCTTCAGCTGGGTAGTTTTCGGAGTACAATCTCAAAAAGACTGATTACTTTACATATGGCTTTATGACTATTTACAGCTTGGGTTCTTTCTGTTTTGTGAAAGCAATTGTTTTGATCTTCCTGGATCTTGGGTCATTAAGTAGTTTCCTAAGGGTTAAGGGTTACAATTGTTGTAATGAGAAATAAAAAAATGCAATTGAGAATTCCAGGATCAATGAAAAACAATGCTCAGGACAGGTACACTTCTGTTTTCAAGAACTTCTCTGGAAGTTCAGAGAGAAGTGAGAAGTCATATTATTTTTAATTTCCCTATTGACTACAAGAATTTTCTGGACTGGAATTCCTTTTAAAAATATTATTATTATATGAGCAAAAGTTACACATAATTAAAAGTTAATATTTTATTCTTTTTTAAATGAATATATTTATTCATTTATTTATTTAATATTAGTTACAGTTTATTAACTTTGTATCCCAGCTGTATCCCCTCACTCCCTCCCAAATCTCACCCTCTCTCCCTCATCTCTTCTCTGCCCCTTTCCAAGTCCACTGATAGGGGAGGACCTCCTTCCCTTTCATCTGACCCTGGTTTATCAGGTATCTTCAGGACTGGCTGCAAAGTCCTCCTCTGTGGCCTAGCAGGGCTGCTCCTCCTTCGGGGGAGGGGGATCAAAGAGCCAGCCATTGAGATCATGTCAGAAATTGTCCCTGTTCCCCTTACTCAGGTACCCACTTGGATACTGAGCTACCATGAGCTACATCTGAGCAGGGGTTCTAGGTTATATCCATACATGGTCCTTGGTTGGAGAAACAGTCTCATAAAAGACCCCTGTGCCCAGATATATTTGGTCCTTGTGGAGCTCCTGTCCTCTCCACGTCATACTAACTCCCCCTTCTTTCGTATTATTCCCTGCAGTCTGGCAAAGGTTTGGTTGTGAGTCTCAGTATCTGCATTGATACACTGCTAGGTAGAGTCTTTCAGAGGCCCTCTGTGGTAGGCTCCTGTCCTATTACTTGTTTTCTCCTACATCCAGTGTCCAGCCCATTTGTCTTTCTAAGTGAGGATTGATCATCTTACCCAAGGGCCTCTTTCTTGTTTATCTTCTTTAGGTGTATAGATTTCAGTATGTTTATCATATCTTATAGGTTTATATAAGTGAGTATATACCATATATGTCTTTCTCCTTCTTGGATACCTCACTCAGAATTATCTTTTCTAGATCCCACCATTTGCCTGCAAATTTCCTTGCTTTTAATTGCTGAGTATTTTATTCTTTTCAAATTGCTTTGGAGGAAAGTTGGCAGTTGGTTAAATTTGGATAATTGAATGATGAAACAAACTAATGGTATAAGGATGTTTTTGAAAGCATGACACCAAACTAGATAATGATATTCATTTGAAATGAAAGTTTTAAATTTTTTTCTGCATATTTCCAAGTGATTATTTTCGTGCTGTCACCCCAGCACATACTAACCTGCTAAGTAATGTCATCCATGCATTGGCAGTAAACACATACAAACATGGCTATGTTTTAAATAGCACAGATAAAATCATACTTTCTTTTATGTCAGTTATTCTTCACTCTAATTTGTTGGTTAAATTTAAGTAAATATTTCCAAAAATATACCAAGTGCATGATAAGTTAGTTAGAATAATATAATTTTCAATGTGCTAGCAAACATTATAATTCATTCTGATGGGTTAAAATGGTTTTCTAATATAAATGTTCTTGTAAGGTATTTATTAGCATGAAATTATTTTCTCCTTGTACTATTCCTATTAAGATTAAGTTTAATGAGAATTTACTTAAGATTTGAGATTCTGAAGCACATTGCCAAAATAAGGAAGTAACAAGCATGAGATGGCTCTAGCCATTGTGTGTTTTCATCACTTTAGTGGACAAGGGGAAGCTGACATTTATAGGACCCATAAACATATGCTGCACACTGAACAAGGTACTTTAAATACATTATCTAATTTACTCCGCTTAATAGCCCCATGAAGATGATATTTTAATCACCATTTTAGCGATGAGTAAACCAATACTTTACAATGATAAGTGACTTCACAAGGTCATAACCGTAATTAATCCCAGGAACAAGATTCATCCACACAGTCTGATTCTCAAAATTGATCACTTAATCTGTACCTCTAACTTAACATATGATTTAACATGGTCTTAAGTGATAATGATAAAAATTTTTCTATAGTTCTTTCCATATGAAGCAGACCTTTAAGGATATATTTAACTTTCTGGATCATTGAAACGAAAAGGTCAGGACAACACTGTTGAAATCTCAGAAATTATTTTCTAATGGTGCCCACTCTTTCGCTGTTGGCCATATTCTCAATAATCCAAAATTAAAGCTGAGCTTCACCTACATACAAAGTACTCCAACATATAAAAACAAGGAGGATGAAAGAATACGTGGTCCCGAGCATAAACACCACATGTAGACCCTATAGCTTGCTTTAGTCGTATGGCACTACATGCCATTGGGCAACATTTTCTGATTTTCTTTTATTTTCTGTGCTAAGGACCTGGTAATGGTGTCCTCATACAATGCACTGTCACCCACCATCAGGTTGAGGGATATGTGGTTGTCATGGGCTAGAAAACTGTGGCCAGACAGGAAGTTCTAATGCGAGGTGCTGGTAGACTTTGCTGTGTCTATAGTTTGCAGCCACAAGTTGTGGCAGTAGGCAGGTGGGAGCAGGCACAAACAGCAGCCAACTGCTTGCGGTTCTCCAGCTGGACTTGCGTTTCTCTTCTCTGTGTCTTTGTGGCCTTTTATCCTCTCTAGTTTCTCCTTCTCTCTCCCTTATCCCCTCCCTCCTCTTCCACATCCCCCTCTCTCCCTTCCATCTTTCTGCCACTGATGCTCCCAAACTGCTCTCCCAGCTGTCAGACAAATATCTGTATTCCTCTTTACACAACTCAATTGCCACCTGAACTGCCTGCCGTTTCTGTGCTGCACCTTCTTACTGTTGCTCTTCCACTTCTGTTGTTACCAGCTCAACCTTCACTACTGAAAGTAGACAAGACTACTCAAGAAAAACCTCATATTAAGCATGATGTAACACCAGGGCAGGAGGCTCAGGGCATTGTTTCATCCAATTCATCCAATTCAGTAAGTAAGCCTAGGAAGCATGCTCATGTAGCTCCCCAATAGGTGTGTTGGATCAATCACAGCCACTGATGCTTATATTCTAGACCAATTACAACCTTGTCTCTTAACATCAGTCATATGAATCCCTTGACAGGTCAAGAGCGGAGTCCTCCTCTGCTAATTAAGTGGTTGGAGGGTCATCTAGAGTACCTTGAAGCTTGTGACAGTACAAAGTCTGATAGGGATCATTTCAAACCACACTGACTGTGTCTCTAGGGCCAGGGAAATGATCTGTGGTTATCATGTAGTTTTCTTAAAGCATTTGAGGATTAGTCCAACAGCTGGTACTGACACTGGCAGAAGGGAAGTCCAGCTGGCTGTTGGCCAACAGTTCTGTTGCTCCAGGCAGCCAGGGCAGCAAAAAAAAGGAGCCCAACAGCTGCAAATTAGGGAGTTAGAGTGGTCAAGGCTTCCACCGTCTCTTCTGACTGGGCATCACAAGCCAGGCTCACAGTAAGACTTAGTGAGCTTATTTTAAGTCTAGCAGTGACTTTAACAGTGTTTATCAGTGTTTAACATCTGCCCAGTGCCCAAGGGAGAGGTGAATTTCCATTATCTGTCTTGGATTAATACAGTTGTAGTTCTTGGATTAAATTGCTTCCAAGATTTCTAGTGACTCTGAGGCTAGAATTCTCATTTTAGAAAGAGAATAGTCAGTAAGGGAGAAGATAAAAATGACCTTAAAGAAAGAACTTCTTGAATTATCAAAGAAAATTATTTATTTTTGTTATTTTTATGAAACATTTTATTCTTAATTGTTTAAAAATATATTTTAAAAGTTTTCTCACATTTTAATAATTTAAAATTTTCTTTATGTACATGCATGTATGTCTTCCTGTTGGTTTGAGAACATAGCATAGATACCGGAAAAGGCTACAAGAGGACATCAGATTACCTGGAGATGGAGTTACATCCCAATTTGGATGTAAGGTCATCAACTCAGGTTCTTAGTAAGAACAGTGGACATTCTTAAGCACTGAGCCATCTCTCTGACCCTAATTAAAAGACAAACTTGTAAAACATGGACACATTCAGATTTTTTTCAATTAACTGAATGCTATAATAGTATACCTGGCTAGTCAAAATTGCAATAAAGAAATAAATAAATAAACAAATAAATGTTTGTTGAATTCCCAAAATAATTTGGTCAAATATTTTACTGCCATAAAAAAGTAAAAGTTTCTAATGTTGTCACCTTTATGGTTTTTCACTGAAATATTTTTTAAAAGTGAGGAAAGGAAAAAAAACATCCTTTAAATAGGTTGGAACCCAACGGAGAGTGAGTGTTGGGCAGGTGTGATATCTACTGAGCATAAGCAGATATAATATTGTTAAGAATCCCAAGTAATTATTTTTTTCATTGCTACCATTGTCCACTTACCGTTTTGAATAGGACAGATGGGTCAGCCTGAGTCCTGTGAAACCATCATTTCTGGTTTGCAGATTCTGGACACAAAAGAATGCCTAGAAGAGGAGCGGGGAAAGGTTACAAAGTAGCTTGGGAGCTGATCTC